TGTTCGGCTTTAAATATCCTTCATGGTTGACTAATTATTAGTTGTTGAACCATATTACAAACCCAATCCTGCTTGCAACTCTTTCAACCTAATGGATACAACAATCCCATACTTTGTCTAGGGAATATTTTGTACGCTGCTTACTGTGCAAAATCCAGCTCTTACTCAGAGTGTCTAGGCACTCAACCAATCCCAAGCCAACACAAAAAACAGGAGATCTACTTCGCGTATTCGCTTTTGTCATCAGAGAATTAAACCTTAGCTTTAACTTTGTAATGTACTTGAAGTGTAGACTGTTAACGCTAGACATCGGGAAAGCACAGAACTTTTTTCATACCTGCCGATTCAGTATCGCCGGTTGCAACCACTGCTGTAATCAGCGAACAGATGTGCAAAACAATAGTGTAGCGCACCATCTTAGCCAACAGAGCAGAGTGAAAGACTAGTAATGGTGACTGTTCGGCAACTTTGTCGTCCAACCACATTGCTGGATTCCACGGTGATCCCTCTCAGTCACGAAAATATACTGCAAGCCAAAGGTTTCTACAGAGCGAACGGGAGTGTTCCTTGGCATTACGGTCGTAAGGAGCAACGTTCCTCGTTTGCGCAGATTCGTGGCATCACTTTGGAATGCATGCACGAGGTCACAGGCGTTCACCAGCAGTGGAGCTCAGATGCAGAATCATCACGTACACCAACAACTGGCGGGGAAACGGACCTGCACATGTCTCAGTATGATAGGTGTACCGCGTAGAGGAAAACACAGGTAGCCAACCACCAATGCACAGCATACGGGAGCCATGTGGCATGCAAAACATGTTGATTCCTTGCCTTGTAAAATCATGTTGCACGTTTAGCAAAAGGTACCACATAGAGGCAAGCATACCTAGCTAAGTACCAGTGCGTGCACAGCACCTGGAAACCATCTGTCATCTAAAACATGCTGGATTACTGGTACATGCCTTGCCATAATTATTATTCAGCAAGATTGTGACGGCTGGCGTGTCACTAGTGACGCAGCACGCAAAACTGGATATCCGTTACGACCATTTATACTGCGATGCATGCAGTATTGAAGAAAGGATCTGCTCAAGTCAGCCACTTCAGACACTAATAATACTATTGGGAATTGTGTGTTGCTCCCTACATGGGAGCTCGCGGGTTTCCTGCCGACTGGAATTCTCACTTGACTGACTCGCGACCGCCATCCAGAGCACACGAGAAGTCCATCAAATCTTCGACTCGGCAAACCTGCAAGAAAGCACCACTCCCTGCTCAACACATGGACATTTAAACATACTGAAGTGTATGCCTACCAGCCTTATATTGCAAGATATGGCCGTTTGACATATTCTAGTTGACACAAGAAGTAGAACTGGACACACGCTTAGATCGCTACTGTGAATATTAGGAGTGCACCATGTGATATATTTCAGTATGCATACACATGCACCAAAGTGATGTGCACCTCTGAATGAAGTGGAACTAATAAACGTTTCCGCCGTACCAAGGGCTAGGGCTAGGTTTAGGGTATGTTGTACTCTACTTCCACGCAAACTAGAAATCGCTACTTGTTCGACACAAGACCAGCATGCAACCAAGCCTCCCACGTCAACATGTACGAGTTCCATACCGTGTAGTATGCTTCAATTGTTCAAATATGCTTCAATTGTGATTGCGCTACTTGAAGTAGACGGAAGCAGCCTACGTTTTAGAGTGCAAATGAAGTTACTACAGCATTATTGTTGCTAAAACGGTCCACGGCAATTTCAATACCTTTACCCTATTCGCTTCTGTGTGTATGGGAAAACGCATTGACACAGTGGCAAACGCACGACGATCGACACCAGAATAATACTTGTAGGGAAGTACTTGTATGCTTGAGGATGACGTTTTACTCGGCTCTTTTTCTGCATGTCCGGCACAGAGCAATCAGAGCAATCACACCGACTGGCGTAGTCGGAAACAAGCCCCCGTACAAAAAAATAAGTAACACTTGCAAAGTAAAACGCTTAAAACCAAGCAGTGTAATAAGACTCTTCCAGTAAGTGTGACAACTGCTCGAACTAACGTTAGGAATAAACGTACCACACCACTTGAAAAAGAACAGCCAAAACCATTATCTCTGTACCTCCAAGTTTCGCGTTTGGAGAAAAGCTGATCACTCATCAGGCGTTGGCAATATCCTCATAATCCAACCTCGCATTAGTCTGGTTATTGTTCACAAATACGAACCTCAGTTACAGGCGTAAGGTGCTTGGTACCTGTTGTTGTGCTTTTGCGTGACTCAATGGCAAGAGGAACAAACTTACATATTACACTTTCCCATTCTGTATTGTGACGCCTGATTCGCTCTCCGTCCAGCACCCGCTAATCTGAGAATTAACTTCACAAAGTTTCCAGCTCTGCTTAACTTGTTGCTGGAGTATGCAGAGTCAGAGATACTGCGCTTTGACACTGCAGGGTTTCCCAAGACTGTAATATGAAGCCGATAGGAAGAATTTATACAAAGGAGAAAGACCAAGGAAATACAAGTTACGCTATACTGTCCACTAACACCACCAGTTACTAAGCAATCAGCTCATGCGATAACATTGCATGACACTGGTGGTGTTAGTGGACAGTGTAGCGTAACTTGTAGTTCCTTGGTCTTTCTCCTTTGTATAAATTAAATCTTGGCTCTCCATCTGAGTCCATAGGAAGAATCCTAAACAATACCACATGTACTTGTCCTGCAATCCAGAAATTAGTAATACGATAACAAAGAGAATAGGGTGAAGACACGAAAGGAGGAGTTTACCGCGCGTTGTAACGCGTTGTAACGAAAAACTTGAGATTTGCGAACGATAACATCGACTATGCAAGAGTCAGTGGAGTAGACTGAACGTTCTGATTACACCGGGCTATGGTTTGGAGATTGGTACCAAGTGAAGTACATTCATTGCCCACCAAGATTGAGTAATCCTGTAGAAAATTAAACATACCTGGTCTTGTCTCATAATTATACGAAAGGCGGATCAGTTTCCGATGCATAAAAAGACTCGGACACGAGTTCCACAAAGAGTACAACGCGTCTTTTTGGAACTAATTTATGCTTCAGACAACTGCCATGAAGCTCTTAGTTACAACCAGACGCGTGGTACTCTGTGACTTGTGTGTTACTGCTCTGATTTTGGATTGAGTACTCTATCGAAGCGGATGATTCTGCTCTCCGTAAAATATACTATTCCTAAAGAGGTACACGATTCTCATGATAGGTACTGTTCATTAAAAGTAAATTGTCTGTTATTTTTCTCGCTCCACATATACTGGCATACACAGAGACATAGACAGCAATAGCGACAACACACAAAGTGAAGGGTAGTTGGCCGCAGCCAGATGTGACTCAGAAAAAGCATAGCGCGGCGAAAACGAGAAAGAAGGCAGAGAGATGCAAACAAGACAGGAAGACTGACAGAGAGAGAGTACGGGACAAAACGAGTAGGCTATGACCTACACAAAGTTTCTCAAAGTCCAAGGACCTAGCACCCTGATCTGGTGCAGTACGTCCCAGTTCAGTGCTGAGGAACCACCCACCAAACTGAGTGTGAGAGCATGTAGGGTGTCTATAGTAGTTCAGGTGTCAGGAACTGGCCAGCCAGGACTTGATAGTGATACGTCCACGCAGTGCACATGAACAAGGCATCTGATTCTCAACCCTGACTGAACAGCAGGTGGCGACTATAAAGATCACAGATAGCAGATATATCGGTTCAGTTTGGGCTGCACAGGATCAATCCTCCCATAGCCAACCCCTGAAGTACTCTAAAGCAGGGAGTAGAGAAGAGAAAGGAGAAAGAACAAGCAGGAAAAGCACACAGAACAGCAGAGTAAGTCATCTGGGAGCAAGAATCATGTACAGGGTTGTACCACGAACAGACTCGGGACAAGTGAAACCCGATAGGGCCGGCATGATTAAAATGCACAGCATAAAATTGTTGGAATTAATCCAGGAATATTCACACAGTGCCGCCAGGCCTCACACAGAACACACAGAGCCTATGCAAGAATCCAGTAAGTTAGGCCTGATCCGAATTTGCAAAGTGCATGCAACACCTGTCCCATCGGACTGGTACAGTGGGCCTATTTTGACTTCGCACAGTAGAGAATGAACTCCTCCAGTAAGACATTTTTACTGGGATACAGCTGATACCACACAGTATGCAAGGCATTCCTCTAATAGGACAGATAATGAAACTGGAACTCAATATTTAACTCTCGGTGACCGAAACGTATAGCCGGTAAGATCATTCT